TCTAGATGAGAATCATATGACTACGTCGAGGAGTCATTGAGAGCGCAGCATGTCACAGCAAGGGAGTGTCCAGAGTAGTAGCGAATCGCTGCGCCCGACTGAAGGTCCCAAAGGCGCGCCGAGTGATCAGAGGATGCAGTCACAAGATAAGCCGAGTCGGCGGAAAAGGAGGCGTCCCAAACCCAACGTTGATGCTGGGCTAGTGTCTTCTCCAGGGTCCAACCACGGGCAATCGACCAAACTTTGGCCGTCTTGTCAGAGGATGTGGTGACCAGAAGTTGCGCATCTGGTGATATCGAGCACTTTAAAATACACGTATGCCCTGAACCATCTTCGTGCGCTGCCTCAATTACCTAAGAGGAATGACGATTGCAACTATACAGGGCCGATACGTCCGGCCGCGTGGGTAACGCACATGCTCAAGCTCAAAGTGCTTGGATCCAGACGGCCTCCACGCATACAAATTCGCCTATGAGGCTTGGAGTCATGACCTAGTAGCTCGTGATTGCTTACTCACGTCATTTGTGCCCGCAACGAGACTGCTTCCATCAGAAGCGATAGCAACTGATCGGATAGGTGACAACTCCCCGTCAGTTGGTCTTAATTCGGCGGAACATTTGTCTGCAGCAAGATCCCACACGCGGACAAGTCCCGCATGGTCACCCGTGACCAGTTCACTCTGTCTCGGATGTAAAGTTACTGACGTACAGGCAGATGGTCGGCCGTCTGCACCCAACATCTCGTAAGTCCGCTGGCATCGCGGTGGTGCCCGCAGATCCCAGATCTTCACTGTACCGTCCTCTGATCCCGAGAACATCCAACTTCTGTCATGCTGAAAGCCAACCGCTGTCACCTGCGTAGAAAAAATGGTTGGGTATCTGGATGCCATTGCCGAGATGCGTACATTCCCGCAATGTGAGAATTCAGCAATTGGCGATGAATTCGAAGGGTTTGCAACGTCAAAAATACGAACCTGTGAATTACTGATTACTGTTCATATCTACCTTTACTACTGATTCGGGTGATTGACATGTGGATGCCCACCAGCAGCCATATAAAGTTTATCTTGCGAGATGGCTAAGCAGTTGACTTGCGAGTCTGGATAACGAACGATTCTTGTGCAAACGCGTGAGGATGCCTCCCAGAATCGAATTTTGTGGTCATAGCCCGCCGTTGCCAAGACAACGGCAGCCATTCCTCGCAAGACTTGAAGGCAAAACAAACTACTACTAGTCTATAGATCTGGATACATGTACACATCATTGAGGGAACGGGTCGGCCAGATTGGCCGGATTGGGGAACGTCCGATCGTCCGATCGCTGGCCGACACGCCTCTAGTCGCGAGCTCCGCGTCAGTATAGCGCGAGCACTCAGGCTCCCAGTAGGAGAGGCCGCCTCGAGCGCCGGGCGGGGTACGAGCGGGGTACGAGGGGCAAATTTTATATTCCAAATCCCCCTCGCGCTGCAAGCGCCGTGCAGAGCAGCCGTCTCCTGACGGGAATCAGGGCTGCTTAGCAGTCCCATCCCACTCTTCCGTGTTATTTTAAGTTTGGCGGCGCACTGCCAATCACTGCAAGTCACTGCCATTTCCCCTTCAGCCTGGAGCTAAGTTGGGACCCTCGTCGGTCGCTCCCCATCGTCAACGGCCGTTCTCTGCATCCACGGGCTGCCCCGACGCGAACTAAGTTGCTCGCCTTCGACCGGTGGTCTTCCCTGGGCGACTCGCAGCCAGGCCCAAGGTGCGGCATGGCCCACAGACCGAGCGCAGCGCCAAGTCCTGGAACCGCTGCATTGAGCGCCGGAGGAAGACATCGAGATCGTGTTACAACAGAATGATGTCGAGGAATGATGTCGAGCATCATCGAGCAAATATAATTCAACTTACGACCCGTGTGCCAACATCCCTGCGTCCAGGGCGAACCAAAGCGCCTCAAGTTTCCCGCGGGCGGAGCTTTGGCTGGAGCTTCAGCCATTGAAGATCTGCCGAGCGGAGCTGCGTAATAAAAACTTCAAGTTGAGCATGCTTGCTGCTTCTCAAAACTCTCTATGACTGGAACGGATTCTTTTTCTCGTCCGCATACGAGTCTGCTTGCTTCAGAGCGTCCACTGAGGCACGTACAAGTCGCCTATGATGGGGCACAACAATGAGGAGAGGAGACACCCCATTAATTGCCGCGCTGCGAGTTGCATTAGCGCATTCAAGTCCTTCAGGCAGCAGCCTTCGGCGCGCTATTGGGAGTCACGTCTATAGTGGTTGCAATGCTATCAATGAGGACCGCAATTTTTTTTTCAAAGATAGTCTGTACGGCCTTGCGTTCCTTGTCTCTAAATTCGAGGAGATTGGAGAGCTCACACACTCGTGTGCTGTTGTTATCTCCCTGCCGCTGCAACATGTCTCCGCCAGCAGTGTGTTTATTGACCTTTGAGGTCCCGCTTTCGTGTAGGGGCTTTTCCCGTCGTCTTTCCAGGGCATTTTCCTCCAACCGGACGGCGTCCAACTCGCGCCGAAGCTCCATCGTGACACTGGTGGTGTCCGCCGATCTGAGGTCTTGAGAGACCCCCTCCAGAGATACACGCTGAAGGTGGATACACAGCGCGGTCTTTTCATCAAGTTTATTTTCAAGCGCAGCTTGATTCTTGTCGTATGCATCAAGCTCATCTTGAAGCGCCATGATCTGCTCATCACGCTCGTTGAGGCGTTGTGTGAGCGCAATCATAATGTCACGCTGCTTGAGAAGGAGTTGTTTATACCTCTCGACCTGAGCCTTGTCGTGCTCGATGCATTCACGCTCGCGCTCCAGGTCTGCAAGGCGGTTATCAATTTCCAAGGCTGTATTTGTCCGCCCTTGACTCTTAACGGTGATCGAGCGCCGGACGTCGCCATCGCCGACATCCTCACCGGTTGGCCTTTCAGTACTTATCATCTGAGATGTGAGCTTCATAATCTGCTCCTCAAGCCCACGCTTCTGCTCCTTCTCGCGCATGAATTCCTTTGACCGCGCCTGGATCAACCCGACACTGGACTAAACAACAGTTTTGCGACGCAGGACTTTGTACCTCAAGGGCGCGTATAGCCGCCATCTTATCCTCCTCCGCGCGCCGGCGGCACTCTTCGAGCTCTAACAGCCGACGTTGGTCGACAACATTCCGATTTCGTTCCTCAAGTTCGGCCTACATATAAGAGACTTTGTATCCCGGAGCTCTCGTCGCGCGTTTGCAGACACGCACCCGAAGGCGACGAAGCTCGCGCTCGTACTTCCGAAGCAGAGAGGCTTGATCAAGATCTTCATTTAGGCGCGGGGCATTGGTAACCCGTTTGGCGCGAGTTGCGAACTTGAGTGTCGATAATGTTTCTGAGGATGCCTCGGCCGCTGGCGATATGGTCGCGAGCACGGTCGTGCGACAGTTCCCCCCAAGGGAGTCTTCTAGGAGGCGGGTGAGCTTCGAGTCGCCTGAGAAGGTACAATCCAGAGATCACGCTAATTCAAAAATATCTAGAGATCTAGTGGATGAACAACCTCTCACACAAAAGCACGCGATTTCTACGAACGAACAGAATAAACTTTCGCGCGCATATTTATAACTCTGCCCCTAAGGCACTTCACTTCGCCGAGCAGTCACGGTATGGCACATGCTTGCGCATGCCACCTTTTTGTGATTCGCATAGAGCGGCAATAACCTGATTGTAGGAGCTGAAGTTCGTGAGCCACAAATCACTCGTGGGTCGCTGGGCCACACGTTTCCAAGTGCAGAGAGGGAAGCGTTAATCTTCTTCGATTCCTCCAGGCGTTGGCCTGTTGCGCCGCTCACGCGGACGCGTTCACTGCCAGCGAGATCTACCAGATTTAGCTTGCCGACCCTAGAGACCCGTGTAAATCCGTCTACGCGGGTTGCCACGCTGTGGTGCGCCGAAATGTCTGCTTAACACGATTCTCGAGGCGTGCGAGGGCCTGCTCCCGCTTGAGACCTGCTGATCGCATTGCTCGAGCAAACTCGTCGGGGGCCATTTCCCTGCCATCTTCGTCCACATAAACAGTCTCGGAGTGCTCAACGATGACCATGAAGACAGCATGTGACCTATGGTGTCTGGCGCATGCGCAACACAGAGGTAAAGAAATATGTATATATCAAGCACTATGCTCCTTGCCGCGAGGAAAAGTCGTTCATTTTCGTTGCGCCCGTCGCACGGACGCGGTTGGCGCGATCCATTAGCGCGTAAACTTCTGAGGGCTGGCGGACAACCCATTCAGACAGCCCATCCACATACACGCCGCGCTTTGGGTCTTCGCGGATGGCCAGGGCCTCGTGCTGCGACACAGCGACTGAGGGAACTCCGAAGGCGTCATTTTCGCTAGACGGCCTGGACGATGTTGCCAAGAGGTCACTCACTGCCTCCTGATAAATCTGAATACACGATGCACGCGCAAGGAACCTTACGTTCTTGTTTGTGTTTAAAGACACGTGGCCAAATATTTGTTCGATACTTCTTGGGATGATGCCCCGAATGTTAACTTGCCCATCAGCACCAGTCATTGTGTACGTTTTCCCTGTGCCTGTCTGCCCATACGCGAAAATTGTTGCGTTATAGCCTTCCAAGCAGCTCTCCACAATAGGTCGTGCTGTGGACTCGTAAAGCTCTTCCTGTGAGCTTTCTTCGTCGTAAACGTGGTCGAACTTGAAAGAGTGGGCTGCTGTGCCTCGACTCCGTCCCAGCGGCGTTGCGCCTGTTGATGTTGTTTCGCTGGCCTCCGAAACGACGGTCACCGTTTGATCCTCTTTGTTTGCGTGTACAATCTTCGCTGATGTCTCACGTGATAAAAGCGGGCGGACGCGTACCACCACCTTGACTGTATCATCGCTTCGATAACCGCCCATGAGATATTAACTGGCCAAATTATTGTGCATCGGGTGCCAAAAGTTGGCACGGTTTGAATTGAGTATCTAACCCCGGGTTTGTTTCCGTCCACTTGGCCTTTCGTATCTCTCACTAGCTGAGGCTAAAGGAAGTCAGGTAAACTCCTCCCTCCTCCCTCAAGGGGACGCTGAGCTGAGTTGAATTACGAATGCCAGAATGCAGGCCGACGTTTAGGCCACCTATCGTCTAGCGAGATAGTGAACTCCGGGGCAGGGAGGCAGCCTGATCATCAATGCCAGTGACTGCCCTGCTGTCCTCGGCGGATGGGCGACACCGCGAAGCTCGAATACCGCAACATACCGTGGTCGAGACACGCATACCGCGTCATCTGCGGTGGATTCCCATGCCATGGCCAGGCTGTGGCCATTGCTTCCTTTAGCTTTGGCTACAGCATCGGCGCACAGCGGCCCGAGGACGCGAGCCGAGGCCAAGGGCGACACGCAGAAGGAAGCACGCACTGAACACTGCAAAAATCGACGAGGATCGCGCGTTCAACGCGTCTAACGGGCTCTCATACGCCAAACAAGTTTTGGTATAGATCCCAAACCGGTTTGGGCCGGATCAACGGCCGTGGAAGACCGTTAAGATTGCTTAACTCTTGTCGATTATGGAGTTAGGAGGCCAGCAAACACGCGATAAACGCGGGGAACCACGGCGAGTCCGAAGGGCGTCCCAGGCCCAGACCTCGCACCCCTCCCGCCGAAGCGCGAATTAAAAACGTACCACTCGGGGGGGTCGACCGCGAACGGAACCATTTGGTTTTCGACCCTCGCCGGGGGTCGACTTTCCGACGCCTCTGGACGCCATCGAGGCCGATTTCGCTTCGGTTTTGCTGTTTAGTTCCCTCGTCCGGACCTTCGTCCCGGGCCTGGAACGCCCAACTGTCCAAATCGGCCGCCGGGACGACGAGTTTCGCGTCATCGAAATTCGTATTTTTGGCGACGAGGGTCGAAAACCAACGCACCGGCAGGGTACCTGGGACCTCAACTTAGGTCAAATTTTAAGTTGCACCTCCGTGACCACGGCCCTGCCTCGTCTCGAGTGCCTCGGCGGGGTGTCCTTTGGCTCTTTACAGCCACAAAATCGGGTCTTTGGGCGGCAAATGGCCGCATTTTGAGTCCAGGACCCCTAGGGTCGAAACTAACTAGGGTCGAAAACCCGGGCCACCGCCTGCAATGGAGCTATAGCGCAGCTAGGAATGAAGCAGAGCGCTGCGACGTTATACTTGTTGGGATGCGGTGTTTTGGGTTTGAGCGATGCGTCGACGTGGTCACCGCCAGGATCCACCTCAGTGTTTGAAAGGTCTTTGACTCAGAAAGGTGTGAAGCGGCTGGTGAGCCATCAGAGGTCTTTAGAACTGTCGAATGGTGGCGCGGTTCATGGCAATGGTTTCGACCGGGCGTTGCACGTGGTGTTTAGCGGATTGTACAAAGGTCCAGCCCCTGCTTGTGCGACGACAGCACTGGCAAGGAACCTGAAATTTCTAGCAGCGGGCGCAATCGCTGGAGTGGTGTCTCGCACACTAGTATCTCCTTTGGAGGTGGTGGCCATGGCGACGGTGGGCGCAGTAGACGGGCCTATGGACGTGCTCATAAAGTTGTGGGCACTAGAAGGCGCAACAGGTTTTTATAAGGGTAATGGTGCGAACTGCCTCAAGGTGGCACCAACAAAAGGCATTCAGTTTGTGTCCTNTGAGTTTCTCAAACGGCAGGTTTTGCTTTGGAAGCGCTGGTGTGACATCCCCGAAGTACTCGAGCCAATCGAACGTCTTGTAGCCGGTGGCTTTGTGCGTACTCCAGTGCTTGAGAGGGTTGCTTGATGCTGAGATCAATGATAGTTGTAGGCGGGTATGGTCGCAGCCGCATGTGTCTATCCATTGGAGACTGTGAAATCGTTATTGACGGTTGAAAGCGGGAAATATGGGACGGGAATTGTCGACGCCCTAAAAGCCCTTGTGGATGAGCAGGGTTTGTGCGCTCTCTATCGCGGTCTCGTCCCTACTCTCATCGCCATGTTCCCCTACGTCGGTGTTGAATTCTGCACCTACGAAACTTGCCGATCTATCATCACCTCATCCGAAAATTCTCGAATGACCACATTCGAAACTATGTGCCTTGGCGCCTTTGCCGGTATGGTTGCACAGACTAGCTGCCACCCACTTGATGTGGTACGCAAACGGCTCCAGCTCCAGGGTATCGGTGGGCGGCCCAAGACATTTGACAATATGTTCCAAGGTCTTGCAGGTATTGCAAAGGCGGAGGGGCCCAACGGCCTCTACAAAGGGCTGAAGCCTGCCTGTCTCGCAACGCTTCCCAGCACGGGCTCATCTTACGTCGTTTATGAAGCCGCCAAAAGCCTTCTGGGTATTGGTTCCGCTGGCTAGCTCGATTGCTCTAGAGCTACTATGGGTCCACATGAGTAACCTGGACGTGGGGATGTTGCGCTGGGATGTTGGCAATGTCAAGTATTCGTCTCGCCGGGCCTGCGCCGGACCCCTTAGTCCAAGCCACAACGGGGGTGCAGCGAGCGGGTGCAGCGTAGTCGCTGGGCCTCGTTAGTACCCAGTTGCTAGTCGAACGCGGGAAATACCAGGGAAATACGATGCGTTCTAGTAAAGCCCCCAGCCGCCAGCGCCAGCCGCCCGCTCCAGCCGCCGACCTCAGATTGACGTCGTGGGTTCCCTGGGGTCCCGTCCGACGCAGGGGGGGGGGGTGTGTTCTGGGCGAGGTCACGGTTCTGCCGCCGGCCCGGGCCGCGGCCTCCGCAGGCACCCGGTCTGGGGAGGGGATTCCTCGTGGTCAGCCTGAGTTCTCAATCGAGCACCCCGGCAAGTATGAGCGTACTACCTCCGGGGTTAACGAGATAGTAGACTCCGACACGGGGAGGCAGCCTAGTGGGGCTGCCGCCCTGCCGTGTGAGGGTGAACTATCGAGGTTGCGCAGTGGCGGTACACCGGCGTCTCTGTTATCCTCGCGTCACCTCAGCTGCCGTAGTATACGGGGGCCGGGGCTACTGGACGAACGGGCAGAGGATCTGCCTCACTAGGTCCAGGAAGACTCTCCGTCTATTACAGTGCGGGAGGCAACTATAAACTGTAAAGGAATGTAGGCTCCTAGTCGACTCAGTAGGCTCAGTATGAGCCGCCGCGACCGGCCACGCGGCGGCCCGGCCCGGGAAGAGGCCCCACCCGACCCCGCTCCGCACCCGCCGCCGCCCAACGGACCCTACGCCCCCCCTGGGCAGAGATGGCGCCAGGCCCGGGGCTCTTAAGGGCGACTAAGGAGGGGGGCAAGTCCCAATGGACCATGCCAGTGTGTGTGCGTGGGGGAAATTCTAGGCGCGGCTCTGTACCAGCGAGCCGCCAAGCAGATAAGGTTCTTTCTGCCTCTCTAGGCGCCGCCTGACGAGTAAGGGGGCTGTGAGCATGCTAGATTCGAGGCCGCGTGGCGGAAGGGGCCCCGCACGTGCCCACACCGCACATCGCGCCGGAAACTGGGGGAGATCGGGTGGAAAGCGTGTTTTAAGGTGGAAAGTGCGGGGTGAATAGAGCAGGTCGCGTCCTTACGTGCAACTGGGTGCATTCGTTAGCAGGAGATCTCCGAAGACGCTGATGGTCCACTCAAGCCACACACACAGATTATGAATGTGTGGCTTGCTCCGGCTTTCAGCCCATCCCGCGGTCCTACCAGCCATCTCATGGTGCAGGCGCTGATGGTAGGGTGCAGGTATCCATCACAGAGAAAGTTCCTTCGCCTTTTCCCAAGTGAAGGCCTCATCCTCGCGACCGAAGTGTCCATAGATGGCAGTCTTCTGCATGACTGGGCGTCGCAATTGCAAGTCCCGAACAATACAGCCAGGGCGCAAGTCAAAGTTCGCTTTGACGATTTCAACTAGCTCGGCATCTGTTTTGCCACTTAAGGAGGGGGCGGTGTCATAGGAGTCTACATGGATAGCCAAAGGGTATGCAACTCCGATGGCATATGATAGTTGAACTAGCACACGATGGCAAAGTCGCGCATACACCAGCGATTTTGCAACCCATCGCGCTGCATAAGCCGCAGATCGGTCGACTTTGGTTGTGTCCTTGCCAGAAAAAGCACCACCACCATGCCCTCCCCATCCGCCATAAGTATCGGCGATGATTTTTCGACCTGTCAGTCCAGCATCACCGTGTGGGCCACCGATCACAAATCGGCCAGAGGGGTTCATATGATATATGGTATCGTCATCCAAGTATTTGGCTGGGACAACTGCACGAACCACATGTTCCATTAGTCCCTCGCGGATCTGTTCTTGACTCACAGTTTCACTATGCTGGGTCGATATGACAATCGTATGCACGCGTTGCGGAATTGGTCGTCGACCTTCAATTCTATACTCGCAGGTGACTTGCGTTTTCCCATCTGGGCGTACCCAATCCAGAGCTTTGCTTTTGCGAACCTCGGAAAGGCGCATACCTAATTGAGTGGCGAGACAATGTGTAAGGGGCATAAAGCCCCCTTCAGTTTCATCGGTTGCATATCCGAACATCATGCCTTGGTCACCGGCGCCTATCTCTTCTATTTTTGTTGCATCCACACTCTGTGCTATATCTGGACTTTGTTCCTCGATTGCCACGATGACATTCACGGTTTTGTAGTCCATTCCCTTTGCAGGGTCGTCGTAGCCGATTTCTTTTAAGGTCTCGCGAATAACTGCTTCGTAGTTCACAGTCGCCGACGTCGTGATCTCGCCAAATATCATAATCATTCCTGTTTTAGTACAGCACTCACAGGCTACCCGCGATGTTTCATCATCTTTGACGCAAGCGTCCAGGACTGCATCGCTGACCTGGTCGCAAATTTTGTCTGGATGGCCTTCGCAAACAGACTCGGACGTAAACAGAAACAGAGTTTCCATCGCAAAATTTAGACCAAAAACAAAGACCTTAACTGACATTCAGTACGCTACTCTACTACTATCCTACTTCTATCATGCTAGTACTGCACTTACCCTAGTTGGGCTCTCCTTCCCGCCCCCCTCCTTTATAATCAGTTACAATACGATGACTGCGCATCCGTAAGGTAGCAGACTGGGCTTCCCCTCTCTCACCCGCTACGCTCATCCTGCTTCTACGGACTGTACCTTAACGTCAAGTTGCTGTACGGGACTTAGATTCTCTACAGGCTATGGTACGCGTGCGTCTTGAGACGCACGCTTCCCACTTGTGCGGGTCCTGCCAAATAAAACTGCTGGCTGTGGTGGTCCTCTCCCAGCTCGCCGCTTAACTCCAGCGAGAGTTACGGATCTGGCTCCTCGGCTCATGGTATCCTCACAATTCTTTTGAATCTTGCGTGTAACAAAACCCGCCGTGAAGGGCAAGTCCATGAGCCTATGGGAAACATCATGTTGCATCCAATCATTGTCGATAGAATTGCATGAGCATATCGGCGATTCATCTCCTCAATTTTTACCCGAGCTCCTTTCTATATTGAAATCCATCTCGGGAAGGGGTGATGAAGCTATCAGGATGCAAAATTTGGCGCTGGGCCACTACAGAGCGACCATGTGTGTGAAGCTCGCTTCAGCTTTTGTGAGCGCATTGAGGGTTGCTCATAAATGTGCAAGATTCGATGTTGACATGCAGCGCCACTGGAACCGAAGCCCTATGACTCGCACTACGGCCTGGGGAAGACAATTTGCATTGTATCTATCAACACTCACAGTCGAAGGCATCCTACGAGCGTACACCGCTATCCCACCGGGCCACATTCATACGGCATGTGAACATGAGATCAGCTGGTATTTTAAATTGGTTGAAGATCGAATTACGTATGGAGAGCTTGATAATGCAGTGTCAAAAAAAGATGTCTGTATTCCTGTGTTACAGAGCAATCTCGAGCGTGCTGTTACTGTTGGAGTGCATTTTTCGCTGGCGGCCTTGTGCGTTGGTACGCTGTTTCTTACATATGTTGATCAAAGACCTGGAAATTGCTACAGGTGCATCGCGCATCATTCTTCGGACCTGGGGTGCTTGCGAAACACACTGCGATCTTTGGCTAGTGTCTGAGAGCGCCTCAATAGTAATCGATGCTATAAGCTGCATTGCATCATACCGTACTCTTCCTTTGATTTTGAAAGACGGCTTGCTTACAAATGTCTGTGAAAAAGAGTGCCGATACAAATATCTGTCTCAGTCCACCTCAAGGGAACTTGGCTTCTATGCTTCACTTTTGAGCATCGCCATGGAATGCGGCGGCAGAGGCGGCTACGGCTGGATACTTCGCCCTGCTATGTCAGAGCTCACACTTCCTGAACTAAAGGGTCGCTTGCCAGAGCTCATTTATGCATGCTCGACGAGTGCCTCCAGTGTTATAGAGTGCCTGGAACAAGAACTAACGGGGAGGCTCGAGGAGGCCGCGCAGTTCGCGATACGTATTACTTGCTGTGGTCACTTGTCTTCTACACAACCTGGCATCCCCAAAGGGTGCCTCTGGAGAGTTCCAGAACTATTGCAAGTACTTGGCAACTGCATTTTCTAAAGCTTGGTTTTGTTCAGGTGCATCGCGTGCAAACCGACAAGTAAGTATCTTGATCTCGTGGTTGAACTCATAGATGCCCAGCTAGCCTCCTACGAATGGTCTGATCAATACCACAGTAGACTGAAATACGTATGGAGTGGTTCGCTGACTGCAGTTGATATCAAACATCTTGAAATGAGAGAATGGTGTATTGGGATGGCCTCCAATATCGAGCTTATGACACTCGCTGGTAATTTACTTTCCTGATTTTACTGTATGAGCAGTGCTTTGCATAGCTTGCGCTCGAGCAAGGCTGTCTGTCTCGATTATCCACGTCGATGGTGTCGCCTCGAACTTGACTTTGCCCGATTTTGATGTGCGTATTTGTTGTTTGTGGCAGAATGACATACAATTGAGAGTAGGCGCTAGAGCATCTTCAGCATGATCGAGCGGTGAGACGCAAGCTCGATCATTTTCTTGGGGAATACCCTGAAGGATGCATCGAAATGCGAGGTCGGGCAGCGCAGAGGACGCATCACAACAGCCACGAGCCATCTGAATTTGCAAGAATGTGGATCCCTGACCTGGACTGTCTAGTGCTGGCGTGCTCTGGAGCGTATTGGGGTGGGCGCCCATGGTAGGCCAGTATGGAAAATAAAGTACGTCTAGGGTAAGTTGAAGATGAGTCAGGGAATAATCCTTGAGGCAACGAGAGCATATTCACGCCGCGCGAGAAGCGCGGCCGCCGCACCGGCAAAAACCGTCTTCACTACGTGGACTTGGGACCCAACAACATACTTCCCCTTATAGCTGCGTGCGTGCCGTACGGGGACGCGCGCCTGGGCCCGCGACCCCTCCTTCCTCGCCCCGCAATAAAGCAGGTGTCCACTCACACTCATGGGGGCGATGCCGGCGTCAACTTGAACGCCCGCTGGCGCTTCGGGGCCCCGCCCGGCCTGGGGGTCCGTCGCCGTTCATCGACCTAAAGGCTGTCGCCGCAAGTAGCGGGGAGCTTCGACTTTAATTTACCACGAGTAGTGTGACAGCGCCCTGGGTTCGGTGAGGGGAATCGTTCATGGGCTTGATTTGGGCCTGAGTGCGCGAGTGGGGCCACTCTGGAAGGCGTAGTTTTTCGCCCATCTCACGAAATATCGCCCATGATGCGTCGGGGGCAGTAGAAGACTCATAAATTAGGGCAAGTATACATACATTTTTGGATCATTCGTGTCTCGTTGCAGATACCTACTTATTGACGACGTTACCCAGACCAGAGGTCTGAAACACACTCTCGCTCGATCAGCCCTTCAATACGTTGGCGAACTAATTTACTATCTGGTTTAAAATGTTGAATCTGATGAATTACTTCGCCCATCAATTCCTGGTGGGCTAACCTGGTGATGGAAGCGATGTGTAAAGAAAATTTCGCTGGTCGCACCGTTTTCTAGCTTTCATGACACGAACAAGACTACGAAATCATACCTTATTTCATACGGGAAGGGGGACACGCACGTAGCATCGATATTATAGCTCCTTTGCTGTATGACCTCTTGGTCCACTTTTTTCTTGGTTTCGCCATCAAGCGACGACATTTGTATACAAAAACGTTTTAATTTCGAAGTAAAAAGAGGGTCCGCGTAAAACTGATCTACAGTTGAGTTGATCGTGCGAGAATTTCCGGATTTCTTCAAAACTTTATACTTGCCGCAGGCTAAAGAGTGGAGAACACGCTTTCCCGTGGGATGGTCCATGCGAACCTGATCGCATACCTCATCAAATGTAATTTGCCCGCCGAACTCGCTGAAGTGCAGAAGTACCATGGCCTGAAATGTGATCATGTTGATATCATACGTACGGGCGCCAAATATCCCCTTGATTGTCACATCGCCAAGCGCATATATCCATGATAGAATGCGATGACTGTGCCTATCTCTGTACCAGCCATCAAAGGCCATCTTGGCAATTATCATCTCACGGGACAAATGTAATTCACGATATCTTTGGGTTGGCCAGAATCCCTGAGTGAGGACCTGAACTGAGAACTCGAGTTTCCCGTGAACATCTCCAGAACTTTTCTCACCACGGCCAGCGTTTTGATGAGCTCTCCATACGCGCTCTAAGTCCTCGCCTGCAGTACGTTGGTTTTCAGAAGTGTGTGGAAGGATGTAACTCGCCGACATGGAAATCGTTTATCATCCCTTCAAGTTTCGCGGTGAACGGTGCACCTTGCTGAGTCTTCATTTTCACAATCAAAGATTTTTCAACATGAAGTAACGTGCACTTTTTTGACAGTAGGCGCTTCGCCAAATGTTCACGGTACAATTCAGAGTAGAGGTCTTTATCTGAAATGAAAAGAAAGAGATCAAGTAGCTCGTCAAGAATCTTTTCGAGGTCCTCTTCACAGAGCTTGAGTTTGCCACTCAAGACACGATCTGTGTACATCACGAGCATTTCCACGTTTGATAAGCCACGAGATAGATCAGTATTGATGACGTCTTGGAGAGCTTCTTTCAGTGCACGTTGAAATCTGTTATCCTGGCCGAAAAGTTCCGCAACCATAGTTTTCATCTTGCGGTGCATGGACAACAACTTTTCCACAGTTAAAGGATCATCTGAACTTGGCCTCTTGCGCTCGCCGTTAGTCTGTTCTTGTTCATTTAGTCTCTCTTTGAGCACACAGGTTCCTTGGGCCAAAACAAATTTCTTGAACGTCGAAGCCATAGGCACAAGGCCTTGTGGGATACGACGGAATAGGTTGAACATGCGCATGAGATCATCATTTTGATCTTGGGCAAGCAGCACGATCATACCACTGTTTTCACGGTCAACTAGTGCATCTTTGTGTGTCTGTAGTAATTCATATTCACAGACAGTAAGCAACTTTGATTCGCTTGATGAGTGTAAATAACTGCGGACGCGCCCTAGCTCATGTTTGAGTGCCAGCTCAGTTTTCTTCAAATAGATAGGTATTGAGTCAACTTCCAACCATTGTCGACTCTGGCGCGCATAATAGTCTGATGTTCTTTTCAAAAGGTAGCTTTCAAAGTCAGTCTCATAGATATCTAAGTCTGGTTGCATCAATAGCGCCGATTGAATCGTTCTTAAATCGGAAGTTTTTGAGCAAAGTCCCATAGTCGGGAAGACACTAACGCAAGTGCGAATTAATTCCGGGTCGATGCACTTATTGTCACGTTCTCTTTCGATGACGTGAACTAGAGAATCTCGTACCTCCCTCTTGAACTCCGAAAAAATTATGTTATGGAAGAGCTCGAGACCGACTGAGGTCAGAGTAGCTATTGAGGAATTTGCAACATACCCATTATCAAGGTGACGAAAAAGCTGCTGCATCCATTTCAAGAAAATTTTGTGACATGTCCAATGATGCGAAAATCGCCGCAGAAGGTACTCGCCTCCCTTTGCTGTCGTACTGATACCCTTCAATCGCTGCAGCTCGGGTAGAACGTGACTACGGAGCACTTTTTCCATCTCCGCTTTCGATCGATCATAAAGAGCTTTTGAATGGTCACACGATCCAGCGTTCGAGCACATTCGGTAAGAGATGGTGTAGAGTGAAACATACCCCTTATTTCCGAACGGCTGCGTCTCCATGGCATTGCCACGTAGCACCTCGAGAAGCACGTCTATTCCATTCAATTTGATTTTTCCCCATCCCTAAAATTGGTGTTTGTAAACAAAATATCGCTATTTAAGTTCCCAACCTCTTCCAAAGGGATCTCTGTAGTTTCTATCGATTTCTCCGTGGCATACTTCAGGAGCACCTCCTCCCTTTCTTGGGCTTGGGGCGTTAACATGACTCGTACATAAAACGCAATATAGGGCGTTCTGGGTAATTCCTATAAAAGTAGGCGGTCAAGGCCAAAAACAACCATAGGGCTGGGCGCGCCCATAGAAGTATTTATTTGTTATTTCTGGCCACCGGCCGTCATATGTCATAGAGGTCCTCCGTCGACCGCGCACGCGCGGGTCGACCACCGAGGCCTCCATCGGAGTGAAATCGAGGCAAAATTGTTGAATTATCCCCCTCGCCTCGCTCAAGCATCGAGTTAAAGCGCTGTTCGTATCGATTGAGACATTTGAAGAGCGTGGGGTCGCCGGTTCGGGTCGGAAGTCGTGCTTGTATGTTCAACCAAACGCTTGCTTGAAGGGAAGTATCACCCTGGGTTATTCGTTTTCAGGGTTTGTTTTTGGCCTTGTAGAGAAAATGCATATATCCGTTCTATTTATAAATCTCATAGTTGGAGGGCCTTACAATTCTGTGGCATTTTGGCGATTTTGGACGCCTCCGAGCGCTCCGACCGCGTCGGCAGACGCCCCCACAAACCCATTTACGCGCTCAGGGCGCTCACATCAGCCCATACAGTGATTTGGCGGCGCTCCTGGGCCTGCTGGACTGAGTTTGAGGCCGGTGTCGCCCCCCGTCTGAAAACCCCAGTCGTGTTCTGGTGGCGATATTCCCCGCATGGCAGCATTGCCATCGGCAAAGGGCGGCTGATCAAATAGCGCCTACTTTTACTGGGCCCGTTGATGCGCGTGTGGCTTCTAGGGGAAGCAGCCATGCTCCGGCCATGCCCTACTGTTCCGGTATGTGAGAGTCAAGCAGCGACTTTTTCTCGTCTTTTGTGCCCTTCAGAGTCTCTCCTTTCGGAACTGAGCCACAACCCTGGGCGAAGCGCTCCAGGCGCCAAAAATTAATAACAAGGATCATCAGGGAGCCAACTGCGACCAACGTGGAGCGGAACATGAATCGCATGCCCCCCACATCTGATAGCCAACCTGCGACAGAATAGCCAACGGCACGGCCACTGTAGAAAGCAGCAAAAAATGAACCTTGACCAGTAGCCTTGAGATGAGGTTTCTCATGTAGAAGGACATCGTTCATATAAGTTACGCAAGGTCCCCAGAAGAGCGCAATTGTGAGCGCGTGAATGGGCTCGATTAGCAGCACATAATATGGATTCTGAAGGAGCGAGTAGGAGACGACACGGATAAGATAGGCAACGCTAGTGATGGCCAAAACCCACTTCATTCCAATCCGATGGTAAATACGATCGCTCCAAAAGAAAAGTGGGATCTCAACAATCGACGCCACAGCATACATGGCTCCAACAAGGCTCGAATTCCCACCGAGGTCGATGATCCAAAGCGCCAAGTAGCCATCAATTGTTGAGAAGAGATAGCCTGTGCAGAGAATTATAGATAAGAAGGGCATCATTAGTACATTGTGAACAACCAGGGTGCATGAGCTCGTTCCACGAAGGCTTGCTCTCGTGACCCGTGTCGTGACGTATGC